TTATTATGTCTGTAAGGCTTTCAAGGCACGTAGGTGCACTGAGAAGGTTATGGCGGGGTTGTAGCCTATGGATGCCAATTATCATAAAGCGCAATCTATATATGGGTTTATGAGAAAATGAAATTGGGCACAAATAAAACCAGCCCAATGAAATAACGTCCAAATAAAATTGATTCACTTCCCTTTAATGTGCATTTTGCTGGTGGGAGTGGAAAATACCAAGTGAAGGCTGGTGGTGTATTAGCAGCCAGCACAATTACTGTTTAATGTGACTTTGGGCCTGCACATATTGCGGCAACCCAAGTAGAACACTCCATAGAATTATTTTTGAGGAATCAAAGTGGGAGAATTAACTCTCACACAGTCAGTGAGAAACAATATGACAGCAAATCTGACCGCTGCAAAGATCAAGGAGAGATGGAAACAAGCCAGCCTGCTGAAAAGAGGGAGCCAGGCAGTCTGTTGCATGAGGCAGGGAAGAAAGAAACATGAGGGGTCTGAACACTCTTTCAGTATATGGACTTGTTCTTGAATCCCAACTGTTGCTATGGTTCTTTAGTTGTGGCTTCCTAACCTTCTTCAGTGAGACTTTGGTTATCCAAACTCTTGCAAGCTACTCAAGTGGTTCCAGTCCAATCCGTTGGATGAAACCTGTCACAAATCAGGTACTTCCATGTAATATTTTAGTTGCCATTTCTCTTATGTATTATAATGTGCTGCAATTAAAGGCACCTTTGTACTGGCAAAGGTGTCACTTTAAAGCCAAATCACATGAGGTTTTTTTAAAAAAGCAGATTAAAAATTAACAAAGAAGGATCCAGTCAGGATAAGGACTTCAGCTGTAGGTGGTGTGTGTGTGTGTGTGTGTCCTTTTTATCCAATCCAGCCTTCCTCAACTTGGGCTTCCTCCAGAATTCCTCAGCTAACACAACCAATAGTTTCCCCTTGTAGCTTAAATGAGACTTGGAGAAGACAGCATCAACTCTGATAGAACCAAAAGATTAAACTATATGACTAGGTGCCATGATGCAAAACCTAACCTATTATTTTAAAAGAAATATACTTAACACCATATGTACTGTTAGCCTCCCCCCCCCAGATTTATAGCCAAGTTCAGAAATGACAATTTTATACATGTATACTATAAACCAGTGGTGGCAAACCTATGGCATGCATGCCAGAGGCGGCACTCGGAGCCCTCTCTGTGGGCACGCACACTGTCGCCCCAGCCCCGCCTCCCCGTGGCCCCCTCCTCACCAGCAGCCTCTCTGGAGGAGAATCGCCCCCGGGTGCGGCCCACACGGAGCAGCACAGCCAAGGACATAGCCAGGCAGCAGGGACACGACTCTGCCCTCGCACCTCATAGCGTGCAGATGATGCTGTGGGGTGTGGGAGGAGGGTATGGCTGCCATGGTGCTACAGGGCTGCCTGGGTGATCTGCTGCAGACCATGGAAGCGGTGCGTGTCCCTGTGGGTGGGCGGGGCAGGTGGCAGGTGGGGGCGGAGCAGGCAGGGTGGGAGGTGGAGCGGGGGCAGGGGGGCGGTTTTTGGCCACTCGGTCTCTAAAAGGTTCGCCATCACTGCTATAAACTCTCATTTTAATTTTGCTAAAACCAAGGTGGGTTCTTCAAACACTTCCATTCTGTCACTGTTTCCATTCTCCAAGTGCTTAGAAGGCCACCCATTCCTGTTTTCTTCCCTTGAAAGGCTTAGGAGGAGATGGAGCAACCCCTGTGCCGTCTTTCCCTGCCTTAAATTGCTCCTGGTCCATCGGCAAGAGAGAGATCCCTTCACTCCCACTCCGTATAAAGACAAAAGATGGGGAGAAGCAGCTCGTCTGCCATTTGCACATTCATTCCTCTGATGCAGAAGAGGAAAGGGAAATTGGTAAAGGTCTTTTCAGTTTCACTCTTGGTCCTTTTGTGTGAATTTCTGAGGGAGAGTTGCCAAGCTAGGCCAGGGGTTCTCAACCTTGGCAACTTTAAGACTTGTGGACTTCAACTCCCAGAATTCCTCAGCCAGCTTTGCTGGCTGAGGAATTCTGGGAGTTGAAGTCCACAAGTCTTAAAGTTGCCAAGGTTGAGAACCCCTGAGCTAGGCTCAAGCTCAGGAGCCAGGAGCAAGAATGAGTAAGATCTTCCATCAGTGGGCAATGGAGCCACTGCTTCATAAACCAAAAATGAAATTACAGCAGCAATTTTAATTACTCAGCCAGAAATAAATCAGGACAGCTCTCAGGCACTGTTGATGTCATGGGAACACAGAGCTCCGGAGCTGTTCCCAAATGGGCTCAGGCTCTTTATGGGAAGTGTCCAAAGATGCAACCGTTTGAAGTTTTCATCCAGAACATTAAAAACAGGGAAATTCTCTCTGCTGACTATCAACTGAAATGTACTGGGCCATAATGATCGTGTTTTATGTTCAAAAATGTATCAGCTATGAAATACAGGAATAATGAGAGGTGAAGTCAAAACTACTTAAAGGGAAAGTTGTTTGAGAAAAAAAAATAGTTTCTTTATTCATTCAACATATTTAAAGAACATTTCTATTTGCCACCTTACCAATGTTTTTTTTTAATTGTCTGAGTGGTTAATCATCACCACAATGTAACCAGTTTAGGACAAACACAATATTTTAAGGAAGAGGGAGAGAGAGAAAAAAAAAAGAAAGAGAGAGAGGGAGGGAGAGAGGGAGGGAGGGGGAGGAGAGGGAGAGGGAGAGGGAGAAGGAGAAGGAGAGAGAGAGGGAGAGGGAGAGGGAGAGGGAGAGGGAGAAAGAAATCTAAATAATCAAGCTTGACTTAAGTTGAAGCATTTTAGCCATTTCTTCTTTTGTGAATATAACTACATTCTTTGGTAAGGAAATACCTTACTGCTTAACTTGCAGTGCAGTTTATGACTGCATTTTCCTTACAAAATGCACTTAACCTTTCCATGCCAGTGTACCATCCCAATTTGCACACTCCAATCAGTTATTCAGAAACAGATTACTGCCTTCTGATCTTATACTTGATTCAGGCTAAGTTAGAAAAATATATAGCTTACAAGATAAATTGACATTATACTACATGACAGGACTTTATGTGCTGCATAAATATCTTGCATTTTTGCTTCTCTCAGATTAGAAAAACTAGTAGAGCTGTGAAATTCCTGGCAGACAACAACCCACAGCTTGTCGACTGTGGATTGACTTGATGACTCATAAATCGTGCAGTTTAAGGTCCATTCAAGATTTGCACTGACACATTCTCATAAAAATTCAAATCAGTCAACATGTTGGTTTAGAACACTGCTGATTTCAATGGGCTTTCAATCAATGACTCCAGTGTAAACAGTTGTGGTTCTACTTGCCACTTATTCTTCTTAAGGTAACTCTAATCTCCACTCTTGGATATTTTTCTTCAGAACTGGAGATTATTCAAGGGTTGCGTTACTGAATATTAATATCTTAACATTAAAAGCTGATTCATCTAACTATTCCAGGGTGGTGGTGGTGGTGGTGAGGAGTAATGGTGATTACCAAATATTGTTTCCCCAACAATATTGATGATTCTTGAGAAAACAGGATGACAGTCCACTGTACCATTTCAGAAAAGCTACAGAGCAAGCCTTTTCTCAGGCATAACTTGACCACATGGAGGTGCTTTCATAAGGCTATTTCACCACATCAAATACATTCAATCAGTCCTCAGTGAGTCAACATGAAATGGGATTCCACATTATTGAAGTCAAACAAACATCTGCCACACCACATTCAAGAAACTAAAGTGATGATATGAATTAAATAGAGCAGGGAAAAGTCCACCAGAAGTTAAACAAATGCAAATACTAACTGAACCTTCCTTCCTTCCTTCCTTCCTTCCTTCCTTCCTTCCTTCCTTCCTTCCTTCCTTCCTTCCTTCCTTCCTTCCTTCCTTCCTTCCTTCCTTCCTTCCTTCCTTCCTTCCTTCCTTCCTTCCTTCCTTCCTTCCTTCCTTCTTTCTTTCTTTCTTTCTTTCTTTCTTTCTTTCTTTCTTCAGGATTTTCTGCCTATCTAGAATTATTCTTACAAACAATGCTTGCAAAAATGCTTTTTTTTCTCTATCAATAAATTTTTTTAGTTATCACAACAAAAGCTTCTCAGGTTTCCTATCATTTCTATCTTTTTATTACCTTGAAAAGCCAATTGCAAAAGGATGGATGGAACAGCTACACAGGTCTTCACACATTTTTTTTATTGCAGAGATGCATAACTAAAAATCATGGGGCCATATTTGTACTCCAAAGAATTCTAAAAGTTATTACCAGATTATAAAGTTTAATTTTATTTTTTATTTAAATTTAGGCTTAAATGCAAATGAAATAAAATGAGATTGCCTCATGTTTTTTTCCTGGATCCAACTACTATTTTTTGGAGCATGCCAGCTCCTGCCAGGTCACTCAATAGCCATGTGCAGCTTTTGGCTCAGAAAAAGCTGTGTGCCCTACTTTAATTAACAATCTAAATTCTACAATTTGTTTTTTTCCTTATTATTTCAGAATGGCAGCAGAGGGCTGAGTTAATAAAGGTATTCCAATTCTCAATGCAATGATACTGATCAAAAAAAGTAGGAGAGCAAGAGAGAGAACCAATATCTCACTCAATATAAACTCAGAGATATAAACATGGTATCTGGGAAACATGCTAACGTTCAGCTACTGTGAAGGATGATGGGTATTAATACATGTCTAGTGTTACTTTTTAAAAATGTTCTTCAGTTGAAGACCTTAAATACTTACCATCCCACAGAAGGTGTTATCTGTCCAACCCCACTGGGTGGGAGGGAATAAAAACCAGAAATATCTGATGTTTGAGAAGGACGGTGTACACCTATCAGAAAATGAAAACATGAGGAATTTTGGTTAGCTTTATGTCTATCTTTATATCAAAATGGATCCAAAAGATTCATGTTTGCTAACATCCAATAGCCCATTAATTCATCTACTTACCCTCATCTTGTTCTTCCTACTATTTATTGCTAAGTTAAATATTCTTGGCCTTTCTTATCTGCAATGTTCTTTTTGAAGCTTGCAGGCAAGTAGTCTAGAGGGTGTGCACCGTAGAGGAAATGAGTGAGACAAAAGTATCCAGAGTAAATATCTATAGATATTCACAATCATCCATATCATAGTTGTGACAAAGGTGGATTTTTTCCCCCAAAAGGCAATTGGACTTCAGTTCTGAAGAAGCTTCTTGGATGAGAAGGGAAAAGTTTTCAAAGAAAAAAACCCGAGAGAGTCCAATTGCCTTCTGGAAAAAGGCACCTTTGGGATATCCAGAGTAAGAGTAAGAGAGAATGAATAGAACATAGTCAAGGTAGAGCTAGGAAAGGAAGCAGTGTGGGAGATGAATGGAACACCCAATTTATCTAGAGAAGATAAATTTGGTGTTATGCATAGTTGGTCAGAAGACAATAAATTTAATGGTAGATAGGGAGCAACTTGAACAACACAAAATTGACTTCCTTTCTGCCCTGAATTAAAGCATGCAAGAAAGCTGCTTGGATTTTTGTGGGAAAGGATGATGAGCTTTACTTGGCGCCACTATTCAACAAATTAAGTTTGACTCAGAGTTTTTAAATTCTACCTGTTTGTCTATCAATTCATGCTTTAACCCATTTATCCATTAATTAAATAAAAAAGCATTCCTACTTCTTAGCTTGATATTCGCTATATAGAGATGCAGTACTGTACTGAGAAGGCATATTTCATTGGGTTATTGTGAAATACAGAGAACATATATGAAGTGTTTTAGAATGAAATGTGTTCTGCTTCAGATGACCAGTCCTTCAAAAAAACATTCAAGTGTGATATTGGGAGATTTCAATTGACATCTACTGCAAATCTACAAAGATTAGAAGGCCAAATAAGCTCTCCCCTCTTTTCTTGCTGGATTTATTTCTCAGAAGTGGAAGAAAGAACATGAACAATTCAGGTTTGCTATCCTGGATTGAACCCTTATCAACGGGGATGGATTGGCTGAAGAAGTGAAAGAGATGATTATTTGAAGAGAACTGAATGAGTTATCATGATGTCCAAAAGAGAAGGTCTGAAGTGATAAGTATACTTGAGTTCAGAAGAATGGATATTGATTACTCCAAGGGAAGAGAGATCAGGACAATAGCTTGAAATCTTGACAAAAAAGTGTCAAGGAAGGAGAGAAAATCCCACAAAATGAGATACTGAAAACCTGATTATATTCTTATCACAATGCAAAATGGGAGAAATTTAGGCCAGGATGAATATGCACAGAGCTGTCTAAAGTACTGCAGAGAAAAAAGAACAGCAGCAATAGGAAACAAAAGAGAGACCTATTATTAGAGAAAAAAAAATCAAGGTTGGCTTCAGAAACTTTAGGAATTGTGTCAGGAAGATAAAGCTCAGAATACGCTGAGGCTTGGGAGAGAAACCAGCCCCAAAAATCTTTGGTTATGTCTGAAACAAAGCAAAGCCAAAGAGAGGTGAATAGACTAGGAGGAAAAATGGAGAGCTGCTAAGTGAACCTTCCAACTGCTATTTTTTCGGCAACAAAATAGAGCCCTAGTTGATCATTATTATATCTCTTGGGCAAGAAAGGATCTGCAGCTTAGGACAGAAAAGAAGATTCTCCATTGATACAAGGTGTTCTCTGGATGGGCAGGCACTACCTGTTTGTGTTTTGGGGATTTTTCTGGACCTACAGCTCCTTCTAGAAGAGTAGATGGAGACAATGGCTACTGGGGCTTTGCCCAGCTGTGACAGGAGCACCAATTGTGATCCTTACTGGTGTCAGAGAACCTGGCAATTGTAATTCATGTCCTTCTCCCTGGCCAGATTACTATATTACATTTTTGTAGGGCTGCCCTTAAAGATGATATGTAAAGTGCGATTGGCACAGAATGCAGTGACCTGTTTATTTGATGGCCCCTGGTGTTGGGGGCATATAACACTGATTTTGTGAGCCCAGCACTGGTTGCCAAAGATTTTAAGGTATAATTTGAGACAAAGGGTCACATTGGGCTTGTGTAACTATGGTAGCTATGCTCCTAACCTTCAGTAAGAGTAGCTAGCAGAAGAGCCTTGCATTCTCAGAGTAAGCATGTTTGTTTTTATTTTAAGAAACAGTCTTTTAGGAGCACTCATAGAGAATTTCAAAATCCCTGGTTGAATTTCTCAATATGTCAAGTTATAAGTTGCTTTGCTTTTTATTCCCTAAAGAGCCAAGCTAGATTTGAACAATCTCACTCACCACTTCCTGACAGATTTGGATGTTTGCTCTTTGTGGAGCATCTAGTAACTTATGAATTGGTAACTATATTTTTCCCTCTTGTCTTTATGAAAAGCAGGTGAGCATTTCCAAGAGGTTAGATATGCTAAGAGTATTTTCAATGTGTGGAGAAGAGAATGAAACATCTCGGGAGACCAACTCAATATCTGCAAAATCTGCATTGTTAAAAACAATGCCCAAACAATACCCAAAGGGGCTTTAGATATAGTCATTTTCAGTTTCATACCCACTTTTCCATAGTTCCTGTGTTCGGCAGCCTGCTTAACCATATTCAATATTCAGGTTTGTTCTGGTTTTAGAGCTTAGGGGGGAGGGAAATGAACAGGTAATTTCTAATTATTTCAGTGAAAGTGAAAAAAGACTGTTCCAAACAAACATACTGAGTAATACTATGGGTGGAACATTTTTACATCTCACAAGGCATGTTGTTTCAGGAATGTTGCAATGAGATTGAATGTAAATGTCTAGGAAAGCCAAAACCCTTACAGGATTATACTATCTCTGAATGCAGGTAGAGAACAGGTTCTCTGAAAGATGTGCCTATTGGTGAAATGAAGACAAAGTAGGGGCAGAATGAAAAAAAAATAAAATAAGACAGTATTGTTCTATGAAATTCTATGCTAGTGTTAGACTTTTGTTATACACTGGAGACAAATTCCTTGTGTGTCCAATCACATTTGGCCAATAAAGAATATTCTATGCTGTTCTGTTCTGTTCTATTCTGTTCAACGTAACATTGCATTGTAGGTATGGATTGCATCTAGAGTATATGAGATAAGATGCACATGGAAGATCCAAAGGATAAACTCTAATAGGCAATCAGGTTATGAGAAAGATACTATGCAAAAAAGAAAGAAAGAAAGGGATCACTTTTCTCATATGCTTTTCTTCACCTGGGTTGGAAAATACCTTCTCTGACAGGATCTGAGCTATTATTTCCTTCTATGTGAAAAGATAATCCAACAGGAAGAGCGATTTACTATATAATCCTTTGTGAGCATGCCAAGTTAGAACAAATCTGTGCAGACTGTGCCAGGTATCCTCTGTCTTTGTATTAGTTCTGTGAGTAGATATGGAAGTAATTCAGTGTTAAGACTGAGAGAGAAGTAAGTCACAAAGCTAAACTGCAAGTTAAACTGCCTTGGCCTGTGAATCTGAGTTTTGGATAAATTATGAATTTAAATGAAAAAAGGATTTCCATTCATATTCTTGCTCTCACCATCATTTCACCTCAAATAAAGACTTTTATAGACAAAATGAGAGTCATGCGTTTATCTTTGGGTGCATTTATAGCTTTCTTCCCTATATATATAAAATGCATCCCTTAGTTCATTTAACAACAACAAAAAAATCATTCATGGAGTTTTAAAAAAGCAGTCCTAAAAGTATATGCAAAAAAACCATATATAACTTCATTAATCCTCATATCAGTCAGTTATTCAACTTTTCCTTTGTCTTGTAACAGCAAAGCTGGTTACAAGAAACAGAGTAATCAAACATCTCAGTTGTTAATTTCATATTTCAATTTTGATATCTTTGAACCATGGTCTCATTTAGTTTGATATTTTCATTAGTGCAGAAATATCATGATTATATGCCTTAATTTATAGATTAATGCCATCACTCAATAACCAACACCACACAATGAAACTGTTATTAAAATCAGAAAATTTATAGTGAAATTTTAAAGACTTATTATTATTATTATTATTATTATTATTATTATTATTAATAATAATAATAATAATAATAATAATAATAATAATAATAATAATAATAATAATAATAATAATAATAATGTTGGAAGGGACCTTGGAGGTCATCTATGATAATTAGTTAACCAGAGGAAGATGTCACAACACAAGGAACAGAGTTGTGGTCTAGTTCAGCAGCCCCCAACCTTTTGGGCACCAGGGACTGGTTCCATGGAGAGAGGTTTTTCCATGGACAGGAGGGGGATGCCTGTATCCCGTGGATGGGGCTTTGCTTGTTTGTGCAGCCCACTTTCTGGCATGCAGTGGCCCGGTCCATGGACTGGGAGTTGGGGACCTCTAGTCTAGTTCTCATATATTACAACAACAGGTAAAGCTATGGTGCAACCAAAATTACCAAAATTACAATTTACAGCTTAAATCTAGTCATTCAGAGATGCAATTCTCATTCTCTAAATGAGAAATAAGGGACTCATGACTAAGATATTGGAAGTTTTCATTATTTCAATGATAATGATGATTATGATACTCTCAAAGATCATTAGATCATTTTCTGATCTAAACAGTTCATCCCAAATGTACCTGGTTTCTTTTTCCAATATATCCTACAAAGTACAAGCTAGTATGAAGATATTCTTGGATTTCAGTCAGAAAATGGAAAGTAGTGAAAAAGTAGAATATTTTTTTACAAAAACATCACTCTTTCCTGATCTACAAATTGGGTTTCCAATCAATGGAAATACAGGTAGTTACAACGGTCCATTTAGTGACCATTCAAAGTTAAGTGGTACTGAAAAAAGTAACTTATGACCATTGTTTACACTTATGACCTCTGCAACATCCCCATGATCAAGTGATCAAAATTCAGACGCTTGGCAACTGACTCATAGTTACGACAGCTGCAGTGTCCTGGAGTCACGTGATCATCTTTTTTGACCCTCTGACAAGCAGCGTCAATGGGGAAGCCAGATTCATTTAACAACCGTCTTACTAACTTAAACAACTGCAGCGATTCACTTAACAACTGTTGCGAGAAAGGTGGTGAAATGGGGCAAAACTCACTTAACAACTGTCTCGCTTGGCAACAGAAATGTCGGGCTCAATTGTGGTGGTAAGTCAAGGACTACCTGTATATGTTAGAAAGTTCCCAACAACAAATATTCTGTATTTATCTTTAGGGTTTGTGTCAATGCAACAAATGTGGGTTGAGCTATTTCTGAGGCACAGGGAGTCATATGCAGTCAGATAAACTCTTTTTTTTTTTTCAAATATAAATTTTTATTATTTTCATCATAAAAAAAAGCACATCACAGATACATCACAATGTAAAAACCCCTACCCCCCACCCCCCACCCGGACTTCCCAAACCTAATCCCAGAATACTATTCAACTAAAAGTAAACTAGTATTAATATCCCTAACTCCACAAAGTATTATTCTACATAAGTAGGTGAAATATATATATATAAAAATTTTTTTTATCTAAAAACCTAATTTATATTCCACCATTCTATGCTTATTTTGAATATAAACAATCCATCTTCTCCATATTGATAAAAATTGTTCATTTGAGTGATCCTTCAATTAAGCCGAAATTTTAGCCATTTCAGCAAGATGCGAAACCTTCAATCTCCAGTCCTCCATTGTAGGTAAAATTTTACTCTTCCAATTTTGAGAGATAAACTCTTGAGAATGACTTATGATCAGCCAAGATATGTTAGCTGAAGATGTGAATTTCTGTTAACTGGCTGTTATAATAGAGGACTTAAAACTAGAACATAGTGACATTTTTTTCTATTAAAAATGGAATTTGAAGCATAGGGCATTTAATTTCCTAAACTGCAGTATCATAGATACTCCCAATGATCTTGCTATCTGCTTCTCCATTCTTAAGTATTAAAACACAATGTTTGTTTGGTTACGTTACTTTGTTTTATATCTCTCAGAAGTTTAGTGTCAGATCAGAGGAACTTTGAAAGGAAAAGAATTGACCTCGAAACCCCCCCAAAGATTGCTGACGTATTCCACTTCTCTACCCAGAGTGAATACATTTGTTGGTACAGAGCATGCAGTTCAACCGCCAAGACACATGAAGTTTGTATGTAAAAATGGGCAGAATCCACTATGAGGCACAGAGTTGGGAAGTGAAAGTCTCTAGCACACATTCCAAACTTCATGACTATGGCTAAATGTCCCACAGCACACACTTTTTAACGCACATCTTTTTTCCAAGAGTAGCATCATCACGGGAGAGGTGAAGAATTATTTACCTTGTTTCTGGTTGATGTCGGCTGGCAGGTGTGGTGAGTGGGAGCCATGGCTGAAATGTTCATTGGTATATGGGATGAGTGGAGTGAGTGGATGGACCCCATGAGATGGCTGTACTACGGGAACCTTGTTAGACTGAAAAACAGAAGTCAGAAGAGAGAGGATTTAGAAATGCTAGCCTTCACGCCCTGTAAATTGAGGATGCAAGGGAAAAGAACCCAAGTCAGAAGTATCCTAAAATTTCTCTCTTTACCCCTAAATTACTAATCATTAGTTACAATACAACAACTTGCTTAGTAGATAACAAGAAGCTTTGGAGATGAATATGCAAACACTAACACTTCAGCAGAGGTATGGTAGGGAACAATTATTCCAGTCTGACTCTGTCTTTATTAGTGAAATGAAAATGAATTAGAACAGGTTTGCCAAATGTAAGATTTACTTTAGTAATTACCATGCTTAGTAATTAACTGCCTAAACAGAGCTCTTGTTGTGTGAACTGCTTTTGCCAGCATCCCTCAAGATGATTTTTTTTTGGCCACACAGTCTTCTCATGTGAAGTGCTTACCTCCATCAGCCTGCCTAAATTAGCAAGTCAATTTATTTTGTATACATTTTTTTACATCAATTTATTTGCTAGACATTTACCTATACCAATGGGAATCAAGAAGCATTCCTGCTTTATTGGATACCGAGCATCTCATCAAATCTTGAAACTTTTAGAAGCTTTGCACAAGTTAGGGTGGCTTTAAAGGAACTTTTCAAACTAATACCTTTCAGAGTTGGAGAATGGGAGTTCCTCTACATCAGGGGTCTTCAAACTTTTATGACTTGTGGACTTCAACTCCCAGAATTCTTGATGGCTGAGGAATTCTGGGAGTTGAAGTCCACAAGTCATAAAAAGGCCAAGTTTGAAGACCCCTGCTCTATATGTTGCCGAATTATAGTCTTCAGCATCTCCCAACATTAACATTCTGGGAATTATTGCTCAGCAATGATAATTCAGCAATGTCTACAAAACTATTGCTTTAAAAGATTGTGACTATGGGAATAAAACCATTATGTGGAAATCATGCTCCTCTATACTGTACAGTGCTGATACCAAGGGAATACCCAGGAAACTGCATACTGTAAATTTTATATGTACTATATACTGTATATGTACTCACAAAATTTCTATACCTGAAGTAGATCAGAGCAGGCCTGGAAAAAAGCAGTTTTCAAGGTACTGCTGAAAAGTACCATGAACAGTTGTGAATCTGCATGCTTGCAGAAACACATTCTTTGTGCTGGATAACATTGTGTTATCCAACAATGTTTTGCCATCCAAATTAGTGTGTGAGGAATAGCACAGAGCATCTGAGCTAGATGCGTTGAGTTCTACTGAGAGATTTTTCGACTGTGCAATAAGCGTACTCTCGTGTGAAGTTACTCTACAACACTGAACTGTCTTTTAAAGGACTGATAATGCAACACACTGATCTTTTGTACTGCACAGGATCTTCAGCTTATTCAGGCTTTAAATAAATGCATCAAAATGCATCTTCCGTATCGCGTTAAAGGGGGACAAGGAAATATATGCCCACATTTACCAGGCTATTATGTTACAGTTATTTTTTTCAGTTGAAAAGAAAGAATTGGGTGAAAAGTTTAGGTTGGAAATTATCAACGTTTTCCAGCTGCAGCAAATTCAGAGGAACTTGTTTTCAGATGAAAAATAGTAGTTGTGTTATTAGAGAAATGCATACAAGAATCTTCCTGCCTGCCTCAAGCATTCTTACCATTTCATACTTGCCCAGTTTCGCCCATGGTTGCCTTTATAATGACACTGACAGTACCAACGCTGGAAAAATTGAGGTTTGTCATTCCGAAAAGCCCACAGAAAAGTATGTGGTAGGGAACAATAGGACTATCAAATACAGGATGTTCACTGAATATTGAAAATGGAGTCTTGTAAACGGCCACATTCCTTATATGAGTCCAACAGAGAAAACTACTACCAAACAAGAGTAAACAAGCAAACCACCACATCTATGTTTGATACTGCCACAACTGGCATTTTATACATATACATTGAATACATTCAAGGCAATTAATGTACTGGAAAAATAATGAACTCAGCTTGTACAAGCAAGGGAAAAAATAGACATGATGACAAAGTTCCAGTTCTCAAATTAAGTTGGGTGGAGCCCAGAGGACAAGAATATATTTTGATCACTCAGGGTATATCACTATTGCATAATCAACAAGTAAGACCATCTGAACAAGGGGCCACGAATCAAAACATGGAGCGAATGAGCCACATTAAAATATATAGCTATTTGTTAGTTCCATATGCGCAGAAACTAAGTGATTTGCAAGATCTATATGTGCAGCAGATAATTAGAACAAGTCAACCAAGCCATATACTATTAGGTTAAAAAAAAAGGCACTGTATACAGGAAACACAAACCTCTGTACAAATAAATTGCCCAGTTATTAACTTTAACATTATTGACTTATCCCTGATGTCCATCGTACATGAAAATATATGAAAACCATAGCAGAAATTATCAAAGCAAATTAAAAAGAATATGAACATCTCTGCATACACCTAGAAATGGAATGGGACAATTTGCCGCAGCCAACTTGCCACAGACAACTTGCCACGGCCAGTTCACTGCGGCCAACTCATCATGGCCAACCAATTCACTGCAGGACAATTCAGCCTGGCCAACTCACCAAGAGACAATTCAACAATTCAATTGAATAATTTAAAATAATTTAAAAAATTGTTTAATTTTTTTGTCATTCATATTTCATTTTGTCCCTCCTTTGGCATCCTTTCTTTAATGATTCTATTCCACTATTTCTTCGATATTACTGTAACTCTTGTCCCTTGGCGAGTTCTCCCACACTGAGTTGGCCATGGCGAGTTGGCTGCAGCAAGTTTGTTGTGGTGAGTTGGCCGTGGCAAGTTGGTATGGAACAGACTTATACACACTTTCACACTTGCATTGCAGGGAAGATTAAGAACTCACCCCACCGCAAGTGAGGATGGTTCATTATCAATTGCTTGTCATCTTGGTGTCAACACTGACACTAAGATATATTACTATTTTGTTGATGAGTATGATGTCATTGTAGATTCATTGTACATGTTGTAAACAGTACAATGTATTATGGTAAATTCAATTACCATAAATCTTATGGAAGTATGAACTGAAACATTACGTAGCATCCTTCATATTTTCATCGGACATTATATTTTCCTGAGATTTTTCATGGGAAAAAATGAATAAAATACAATATAAAGAATATAAAATACAAATATAAATTGAAACAGAATAAAGAAAATAAATCTTTTCTAATACCATAACTCTGAGATCTAGTTTGGAGCAGTGGTTAAAGGCACTGAGTTAGAATCAGGAGACTGGATTTGAAACTCAGAGACTGCGAGGTGCTCTCCACCTAGAGGGGAAGGTGTTGAAACGAGCCAAAAGAAAGACTCTACAGTGCACTGAGCAAGCACAACTGAGTAAGTAGTTGAATATTGAAACCCACCACTGAAAGTTAGCTTAGAGTACCCATGCAAGATCAAAGATTCTTTGATACATTTTGGATTTAGCTCTCTCTATTCTGAGGTGCAGCAGAATAGATAGAAAGGCTGCAGGGACACAGCTCAGATGAGATTTTTATTTTCCACCTTGATGAAAGTTCATGAAAAGCACAAGTGAACCATAGGGACACAGAAGCTGAAGCCAATAAGAGAATGGCCAAGGTTCTAATGCGAGTGGAATCATACCGTTTTCTATGCAGATTAAAGCATTTTAAATGTAGCACAATAAGCAGAAAAATACTTGCAGAGGCCTAGACTGGGCAATGTCCACTTCGCACCACTTCAGCAGAACCGGTAGCTTTGTTGCCCAGGCCCAGGATGGACTTCCAGAAGCGGCATCCACACAGAGAACCGGTTGTTCACATATTTGAATCCCACCACTAGTCTAAGGACTTGGAATTAGTGTAGTCACATTTCTATGCATCACACAAATTTCGGATTTAGTTTTAGTTTTAAAAGCTTGGTGGGAACAGGTACCTGTCCTTTAGAAAAAACAAACAAAAAAGCACCAGTCCTAGGATTGCCATAATGTTAATGCTAGTTTTGGCACAACTGGGTTTAATTTATTTCTGCTCAACTCCGAAGATTTGAAAAACAAAGCTAAGATATTTAAAAACTAGAACTTGTTTAATTTCAGTTTTTCCAGCTTGCAGTTGAATTTAATGATCTTTGTAGCAATTAGCTCCCCCTCATATTAATATAGATATATAACATTTTGATCCTAGATCTTGATCGTAAGGTTTTTCTCCCTGCAAAATTCCACTGGCCCATAGACCTCTACTGAGGCCCACCTGTGGAAGCAAAATGATTAATTTTTTTGTAGATCCAAGGAGCTGTAAGGTTCAGTTTCAGCCTCAAACCACAAGACTTTACAGGGTTTTTAAAAATTTAATATGACAACCAGGCTCCTATCTTTGTTTTTTTTTACTAATTAAATTCCCTTATTAAGTCTACAAACTTACTGACTGTGGCCCTAATATAGCATCATAGAAACCTCTGCTGCTGCCAACTTCATAATGCCTAGAGGTCTGAGGTCCTACCTTCCATCAAATTAACAATGGAAGGCAGTCTTATTTTCATCCAGAGGCAAGAAGCCAGCTAAAGAAGCCAAACTGAATTCAATGAGATTTAAATAGTGAACTCTACAGTGCTGCAGCCTGGAGAATAAATTGTGAAGCACAGAAAGACAGGCATCACTTTATTAAGACAAGAGATTTCCTACTTCATTTTAAATCTGCTTGTATCATAAAATACCCTTGATCAGAGCTGCCTTGTGAAATTTAATTAGTAGGATTTAAATTCCACTTCCTATGAATTAATATACAAATTTGGAGTAGCTAAAGAGGTTTTATCTGACTATTCTTGCATCTGATAAATTAAGCATTTGCTGCCTCTTCTCCTTACAGACAGTTGTCATATTAGATACGTTGAGATACACCTTTCCTGAATATGGGAAAGTGTACACTCCCTAAGCAACAAGTATAACTCAAGCATTATTTCATTATTTCCAAACCTTGGGTGTTCCAGATGTAATGGA